GAAGTTGGACGTGTAGATTGAAGACTTCATGGACACCACTAAAGTCCTATCCCAACTTTGAGATTCCAGACACTTCAGTAATCCAAAGAACAGATGACTATAAGAAGGTGGATCCCCATGCATTTGTTCATTTTGCCTCCCCTCTAACAGTAAATTGGGTTGTGGATGCTGCTGGTCGTACAGAGCTTGTCTTCAACAATCAGCTATTGAAGGTTAGTTTGGGGCCTGAAAATTCTAATTACATGAATCGCCGAAGGAGGAAATCTATACCCTTTAAGTTACCTGCTGTCTCCCTGGAGATTGGAAACATGGCTAACCAAGATGAGTTCTTTGTTGGATGGAGAGGACCTCCTTCCGGGGTTGAATTTATTGTGGATCCTTTTGATTCCACCTTCAAATTTTGTTTCTCTATGGATACAGCCTTCTCCTTTAAAGGCACAACCAAGCATGCTGTCATAAAATGTGATTTTAAGGTAGAGTTCTTGGTGAGGGAAATAAATGAGATCAAGCAGTACACGGATACATCATGTTTAGTAGTGATCTTGCGGCTGGCATCTTCACCTTGGGTCTGGTATAGAACTGCTGATGATGAGATAGAAGAAACAGTTCCATGGGATCTGTTGGATGATGATGATCAGTGGATCCGGACCACAGATTTCACCCATAGTGGAGCTGTTGGCTGTTGTAATACATACAAAGTAAAAGTTCGTCATGGTTTAAAGCTGAAAAATGCCATGGGTTTTCTTAAAGAGCAAAGAGGAGCTGTCAAAGACCTTAAAGAGCCTCTTAGGGTCAGTGATGAACCTGGTTTCGTGAGATGCATGTCAGGTCCCTTCTATCATATTGATTACAAGGAAGGAATTCCCTTTGAAACAATATTTTTGGTGAATGCTGTAATGCACAAAGGCATATTCAACCAGCATCAGTTATCAGAAGAGTTTTTTAACGTACTGAGAAACCAATCAAGCGAATTAAATGTGGCTGCACTCAGGCACATCTATTCTGACAGATGTCCAGTAAATGATGCGTATGAGAGGCTGAAAGTTGTTCAAAGTTGGCTGCTGAGGAATCCTAAACTTTTTGAGAACCCTAAACAGTTGGATGATATTGTTAAAATCAGAAGATTGGTTATTACTCCAACCAAAGCTTATTGTCTTCCGGAAGTGGAGCTTTCAAATAGGGTTCTCAGGAAATACAAAGATAGCTGATCGGTTTTTAAGGGTCACATTTATGGATGAAGGCATGCAGACAATGAATGCAAATGTGCTCACCTACTATAATGCTCCAATTGTAAGGGATGTGACATCTACCAATTTTTCTCAGAAAACGGGAATGTTTAAAAGGGTGAAGACTATTCTAACAGATGGATTTTACTTGTGTGGTCGCAAATACCATTTCCTTGCTTTCTCAGCCAATCAATTGAGAGACCTTCTGCATGGTTTTTTGCTGAAGATGGAAAAATAAGTGTGCTTAAAATTAAAGGTTGGATGGGGAAGTTCACAAACCGAAATATTGCTAAATGTGCTGCCAGAATGGGTCAATGCTTCTCATCAACATATGCAACAGTGGAAGTTCCTTCAACAGAGGTCTCAACCCTGATCTTCCAGATATTGTGAGGAATCAATATGTGTTCTCTGATGGGATTGGCAAGATCACTCCTGATCTTGCAATGGAAGTTGCTCAGAAATTGAAGCTGGACCTAGATCCTCCTTGTGCCTATCAAATTAGATATGCCGGTTGTAAAGGGGTTGTGGCTTGTTGGCAAGGAGAAGGTGATGGGATCCGTCTTTCTTTACGGCCTAGCATGAATAAGTTCCTGTCTAACCACACAACAATCGAAATCTGTTCTTGGACAAGATTTCAGCCTGGCTTCTTGAATAGACAGATTATTACATTGCTTTCTACTCTTGATGTACCAGATGGAGTATTTTGGGAAATGCAAAATACCATGGTTTCTAAATTAAACAAAATCCTTGTGGATACTGATGCAGCATTTGAGATTCTCACCTTGTCATGTGCTGAGCAAGGGAATATTCCGGCAATAATGCTGAGTGCAGGTTTCAAGCCTCAATCAGAACCTCATTTACGAGGCATCTTGACTTGTGTAAGAGCATCTCAGCTTTGTGGTCTTAGGGAAAAAACTAGGATATTTGTTCCTTTGGGGAGGTTGTTGATGGGTGTCTTGGATGAACTAGGAGTGCTAGAACAAGGCCAATGCTTTATCCAAGTGTCAAATACATCTCTGGAAAAGTGCTTCTTGAAACACGGCTCTAGGTTTGCGGAAACAAAGCACGACCTAGAAGTAATTAAAGGGTTGGTAGTTATAGCTAAGAATCCATGTATTCACCCTGGGGATGTAAGAATTCTAGAAGCAGTTGTATGACTGTTTGTATGCCCCTGGATTACACCATTTGTATGACTGTTTGGTTTTCCCTCAAAGGGGTGAGAGACCCCATACAAATGAAGCTTCTGGAAGTGATCTTGATGGGGACAATTATTTTGTCACTTGGGAGGAACTTCTTATCCCCCCTAGGAAGAAGAGCTGGCCACCCATGCAGTATGACCCTGGTGAGACTAAATTATTGGAACGCCCAGTCAACCATAAGGTAACTATTTGTTTTGTTTATTTAATATCACCCAACTTTACTGGACCTTTGTTTTCCAGAATTGATTTTCTCTGATTATACCCTTTCTTCACATACATTTTGTTTCCTGAATAAAATCCTTACGTTGCCACTACAAACATATTGTTTCCTGGTATGCTTTGCTTGAAAGCTGGTATTAAAAGAGATGTTTCAATCAAAGATAAACATGGTTGAATACATAAATATATTATTAGGCATTTATCTATTAAGAGGAAGGCACTGACTGTTTTTGAAATGGTATATTTTGTTATTGGTAAATTCTGTTACTATATTTTTCCACAGAGATATCAGCAAAAAATGTGGTGATGACACGAGTAATTCCGAAGCATAATATAGTACAAAAGCAAGATAAAATCTTCAAATGGGAGAACCTAGAGCGAAACCGTCAGAATAAAGTAGATATATTATTGTGTAAAATATATCAAATTAGGCAGGATAATTAGTGTAGGATTTGTAATCTGAAGAATGGACTATTTCAAGTTCCAAGTAGGTGAAAGACAAAATCTCATGACTGTTTTCTTTCACGTTTCCTCTGCAGGACATAGTTGATTTTTTTGCAAAAAACATGGTGAACGAGAACCTGGGGAGTATTTGCAATGCACATGTGGTTCATGCCGACCTTAGTGAATATGGTGCTCTAGATGAGAAATGCACACGGCTTGCAGAGTTGGCGGCTACAGCTGTTGATTTTCCTAAAACTGGGAAGATTGTGTCAATGCCTGCTCAACTAAAGCCAAAATCCTATCCAGATTTTATGGGTAAAGAAGAGTACCAATCATACAAATCAAGCAAAATTTTGGGAAGACTATATCGTAACGTCAAAGATGTGTATGATGAAATCTCTGAATCTTCCGAGATCAAACTTGATGCTAGTGACATCAATTATGATGCCGATCTTGAGGTTACAGGATCTGCTGACTACATTGCTGATGCATGGGTTAAGAAGTGCTCCTACAATCTGCAGCTGATCGGACTTCTCGGACAATACAAAGTTAAGAGGGAAGAAGAGGTTGTAACTGGGCAGATCTGGTCCATGCCTAAATACTCCAGTCGAAAGTTGGGGGATTTAAAGGAGAAGCTCAATCATTCTTACGGTGCCCTGAGGAAAGAATTTAGGCAGATTTTTGAGAATATGGACTCGGATTTCGAGCAGCTTAATGAGGATGAAAAGAATGAATTGTATGAAAGAAAGGCGTCTGCATGGTACCAGGTCACTTACCATCCAAAATGGGTAAAAAGTACATTAGAGTTACAGGAGTCGAATGGTGCTGATGGCATGGTGATATTGAGCTTCGCCTGGATTGCAGCTGATTTTCTTTGCACGAATAAAGTGTAGGTGCCATGGGACCCAAAATGTTGACTTTGCTAAGCCTGTAAACTCTCTTGTAAGGTACCTGGCTGATCGAATCTGAAGAGCATTTGACAATAACTTCTTTTGCTGATCAGAATTCTAGTTGGCAAGGCCACTCTGCCATTGTTCGATTTCTTGTGTAGTATCTTTCTTCTGAACTGTTACCTATAGTTTCTATGGCCTAGTTGACTGGTTAAAGATGATTTCCACCTTGGTTTGTTTGGAAGTTTGCGTATGTAATCATGTTGTCGAATGCTTTGCTTATGCAATAATAGAACCATGTGATTTTGGAAGGTCCGTGAATCGCATTTACAGTGGCTCGAGTACTACTAATGTGCTAGAGCTTTGATTATTTTATGTGACGAATTGAGAGAAGAAAAAAATTTCTAATCAATTCTCATTGAAAAAATAGAAAATACAATATGTTTTTTATAGGCTGGTTCATACGTCCATTTTAAACGAAAAACGATCAAATAATAATTAAATAATTATTTTGTAATTTTTTATAATTAAAATATTGAAGAAATCTTATAATTACAAGAACAGTAGTCAGATAATACACATACAAACCTTGGGGCTTTTGAGATGCCATGAGAAGGCAATGTCTGAAAATAGAGTGGAAAGGTTAACTTGTTTCAATCGAACTCCTACAAATATATAAATTGAAATTCGAATGCAATTTTAGGGTCTAATTGGATAAACGTTTAGTCTTGGTCTCAATCCCGATTGTTCTCTGAGCCCAACATTTCTTTAACTGATCTTATCAACCCACTTCTTCTTTAATCTTTGTTCTTCATTTTCCCTCAAACAATTCACTAACAAGTTGAAAACGGAATAAGTTAGAAAACGGAATAAGTTAGAAAACGGAAAGAGAGGTCCCTTTGGTCAGAATGCCAAAATCAATCTCTTTCCAGAAATAAAGTTTTTAACTTTTTTTATAAAATGATCAAATATCATCTCTAAATATGCCGCTTTCAAGGTATTTATTCCTTCCTGAAAGGAAACCTTTTACCCTATGTTTCTTCCTACATTTCTGCGAAGAATCCCAGGCAAAACAGTTGAAAAGAAAAGAGTTCGGAGGAAAGCTATTAACTTTGTCTCAGGAATTTTAGTCTTTTCCTTTCTGGAATTGGGTTTTTTTTTTCTTTGGGGATTTTAGATGCGATCTTCCGGTCATCTTCCAACTTGGATATCTGCCCTTTTTGGCTGCGTGGGGTCAGTTTTCATCTTCTCATCTTTTTCCTGCTGTTATCATGTTAACCCTCTGATTCTTGGCCTTCTTTAGTTATAAGAAAAGAGTTCTAATGCTTTGTTATATGTAGCTTTAAGTTTGCTTCTGTTAGTATTGAATTTTGGCGCTTGTTGTGCTAAAGCTATAAGATATGTCCATAGGGTAGGGCTGAGTGCATCTGAGACTCTTCGATTTTGGGGCACTCTTTGCTTTAATTTCTGGGTTGCTGGTTCTGTGATACAAGGGTCTTTATTTTGATATCTTGATCAAAGGTGTTATTTATTAGCTTAGCTCTGGGAAGAAACCTCGTTCATTTATTTTGTTTTCTGGAGCTTATTTGCATGCTCTTACACTCTGATTGGTGGAGCTATTATGGAGTTTGGGTTGGGGTGTGAAAAGGCTCATAAATTTTCTGCAATTAAGCTACAGGTAAAAGGGATTCACTGGTACTTGTGATACACGCTGGAAATTTAGTGGGTGGAATTTAGATTATGCACCTGCCTTGCATTGTTGTTGTTTTGTGGATAAAAACGATTGTCGAGTCGCAATGTTTCAAGTGCAGCTCCTCTTTGATTATGTTCAAAATCACACATTTCAAAGTTGGAGTTTAGTTTCATGTGCTTAGTTCCAATGTGTAGTTGTGAAGTTGATGGCTTTGCTTTCTATCTGCTAGATCCAGGATTTAGTTGTTATAGTCGATACACCGGGTATACATGTGGTTAATCCTGGTTTGTAACAGAGCAGAGGTTGTTTTGGATGCTTCGAGCCATCTAAGGGTGTATTGATTCAAGACTGGAAAGGGAGGAACTTTTCTAAAGATTTCTGGAGTAGCAGCACATGTGAAATCGAACATGGTGCACTCAAGCCCCAAAGAAGCATTCCGTCAATAAGCATATCGAGTCATTCCCTTGACCTTTCTGGCAGCACTAGCCATCCTTCTGAATTTGTAAATCATGGCAAGTTCAGATGTGTTAACTTTATATACACCACTAAATAAAGCTGAATAGCATCCCATTCTTTCATATATTCTCATGTCCTGTTGTAAGATTTTAATACAATTTTACATTCTCGAAAATAGTATTGGTGGTAAAACTTTTAGATGACAATTTGATTTTGCAGGCCTTTATCTTTGGAACCAAACAAGGCAGCAATGGCTTGGAAATAAAAAGTTTGAGAAGCGTGTACAACGTCGAGAATCCAATTTAAGGTTAGAAAATTCCCTTGTTTTTCTAGTTTAAAAGTTGTACCTTAACCCTATTAAGTAGAAGATAACAACCACTAAGCCATGTTTAAGCTGTTTCAACCATTAAGCCATAAAGACCTCATCAAATTCAGTGTTTACGTGTTGCAGTTGCAATTGGAATGTAATCTATCATAGTTTACGTGGGAATAGTAAGCCATTCTCTCATCCAGTTCCCCTGTCTGTAAGTTTACGCTGCCCACCAAATGGTTTCCTATTAAAAACCACGTTTTGTCCTTGTATAGTTACTCCAATTCTTGTTTGGGTTTACTGACAGGAATTGGTGGATTTCCTAGACGAAGTTTGGGAGCAAGAGGGCTTATATGACTGAGCAGGATGATGCTAAGTTAAAGCTAGAAAGAACGGGAAATGTCGAAATTATCTATTGCACCATCCTCTTCCCTTTTGGATCCTTCCTCTGTATATCAATGTATTGTAGTTTACAAATCCTTTGGATTGAAAATTCAACATTAATCATCCAAAACGAAAAGAAAATGCAATATTCCAGTTTCTTGAATACATTAATCAACCATTTGTGAATTCTTATACATGTTGGGTGAAATGTCCCATAAAGGATTTGGTTGAATATGAATTTCGGAACTTAAAACACTGTTACGATCCAACTCGTCGAGTTGTTCATTGTTTTCTGTGCTACTTTGTGGAAGCTACGGTGGTAACCAGGTGATTGTCCAGATAGCAACAATCCAGCAAAAGCAAATTTGACTAATGACTATTGAAATGGAGGAGCACCATGTCATGAATTATGTTATATGGTTCACATTATAATACATGCTCTAATGATTGTGACTAATACTAAGATTAGTATTGGTAAAAGTGGTAATAATTGAAAGTTGGAATGAGTCAGCATTTAGAAGCTTTCATCAGATTTGAATAGAAATGAAAGATGGCTTTGCTTGCTTTTGGCTTCACCTTGGGCTGTACTAATAAACATTGAAAACGTAAGACCCTACACCTTACTTTATTCATAAGATTTCTCACAGAGGCGGCATCACAAGACGCTCGTTGTTTATCATCTTTTGGTCTTCATCAATGGCAGTGTGAATAAAATATGTATACATGTACAGATCAAATAGGCTATTTCATGAGATAATTCCCAAAATAAATTAAATAAAAAATAATATCTCTATCAATTTGATAAATCTTTCGCACGATGTCTCCTATACTAATACTATCGTTTATATAATTTGAATATATATATTTCCAAATTTGATGAGTGCGGGTAGGATAACAAGAATTTCTATTGCATAGTATTTACATATGTTATATTAAGTTTGTTAATTACCATGTATGCATATGTATATCTGCACGTTTTTTAAGTGGAAAACTGTGGGAAACATCAAAATGAAGGAATCCCACATCCATCTAGGTCAAAAATAGTAGAATAATTTATATAATGAGAATAATGTTATTAAAAATTAAATTATATTTTTGCTATTTTATTGGGGGGAAATTGCCTAGCTCCTTCAATGGAATATATGGATTTCACAAGTTAAAAAATTTAAAGGAAAGTATTTATATTGGAATCTCAAGATTCAACAAATTAAAACTCTCGATATTCCTTTCTATGTGTGGCATTTCCTTTCTTCTTCTCATGGTGCATGGGGACATGGTATATACGACCGGATTCATCCGTCCAAGATACATATAAAATACCAAGTTGGGGCTATTAATTATTTTACGTAATATAGATACAAAGTTGGGCTAATGAATGTAGCTTATTCCTAAAAAAGAGCTTATTCCATCACAGAATATACTAGCAAAATTAAATATAAGTTTAATCGAGTGTCCAAACACCTGTGGATAAGAAAAGAAAAATGGAAAACCATCAACGGCAAACAGCGGTAAGCGGTATTGGAAAGGTGGGGGAGAAGACAGAGAATCCCAACAAGGAAACAAAACCCCAAATTTTTGGGTCAAATACATTGCATTTGGGTTTCTCTCATGTGTATTGTAACATACCCAAACCTCTCTCCTCTCCTAATAAAAACCACCCCTTTTCCCTTTGTCACCATCTTTCATTTTTCTTTCTCAGTTTTTCCTTTTTACTTTCTTCCTTCCTTTTTGCCCTATCTGATAGGGTTTTCCATGTACTTGTAGCTCCAATCTTTCTCATGCATTCCTGTTTTCAACCTACAATACTTGAAGTTTCGACTTTCTTCTTTATTGGGTCTCTCTCTCTTGCTCTCCTTGGAGGGTTTTTGTGCGGGGATCAGTTCGGATTTTACTTTCCTGGGTTTTTTCAGCTGTTCTCATGTCAAAGATATTTTCTTTTAGTGGTAAGCTCTTCCCCTTGCTAGTTTTTAGTTTTTCCTTCCTTTTTCTTATCTGGGTATCTTTGATTTTTGTTTATGTGAATTTGGTGTATATATTGGATGCGAAAAGGTTATACTCTTTTCTGTGAACAACATTTATGGATTTTGGGGCTATATCATGGATGACTAATAGCTTTCGATATTGTCCTTTTTAGTTTCTCTATGTTCGTTGGACTTGATAGTTGTAGAGATGTGTTTTCGGATAGCTCTATGTGATCGACAATATATAGAACAGCTTCTGTTTAAGCTGAAATATCTGTCAAGTTATTTATCTGGTTTTCCTATAGTATCGTGGTAGATTGCTATGTTCTGATCAACGGTTTTAATCTTGGTTCCCAGGAACTGGTAATTTTTTCACTGGGGGAGCAATTTACTCAAACCCCAAGGAGTCAAATCTCTTTTTCTCTTTTGGACATCATGTGGACGAGTATTTTCCTCATCAAAAGAGGCCCCGCATCAGTGCCCCCATTGTTTTCTCTGGAGAAAGGTTCGAGCAGAAGAAACCATCGATTGAGATTCTCCCTGATGAATGCTTATTTGAAATCTTCAGACGATTACCTGGAGGCCGAGAGAGGAGTTCCTGCGCCTGTGTTTCCAAGCGTTGGCTTACACTTGTAAGCAACATCCACAGAGATGAAATCAATGACAACAAGTGTGGAGTTGTGTCTGAGGTTGAAGATGAAGATGTTGAGGGTGATGGATACCTCTGCATGAGTTTGGAAGGGAAGAAAGCAACAGATGTTAGACTTGCTGCTATTGCTATTGGAACTTCTAGTCGTGGTGGATTGGGCAAGCTTTTTATTCGAGGAAGCAATTCCACATGTGGTGTGACTAGCATTGGACTAAGGGCCATTTCCCGTGGATGCCCTTCTCTAAGGGTTCTTTCATTGTGGAATTTGTCTTCTGTTGGAGATGAAGGCCTGTTTGAGATTGCTGATGGATGTCACCAGCTAGAGAAGATTGACCTTTGCCACTGTCCTGCAATTACTGACAAGTCTTTACTCGCCCTTGCAAAGGGCTGCCCTACTTTGAAGGATCTGACCATTGAAGGTTGTGCAAACGTTGAAAATGAAGGTCTCCAAGCTGTAGCACGCAGCTGCCCAAATCTAAAGTCCATTTCAATCAAAAACTGCCCCCTTGTTGGAGATCAGGGAATTGCAAGCATGTTGTCTTCAGCCTCATGTACCCTCACAAAAGTAAAGCTCCAGGCCTTGAACATTAGTGATGTCTCTCTAGCTGTTATTGGACACTATGGCAAAGCAGTAACTGATCTTTCTCTCACTAGCCTTCCAAATGTGAGTGAAAAGGGCTTCTGGGTAATGGGTAATGGTCAAGGGCTACAGAAGTTGAAGTGTTTTGCAGTTACATCCTGCCGTGGTGTAACAGATTTGGGACTTGAGGCTGTTGCTAAGGGTTGCCCAAATTTGAAACAGTTATGCCTCCAAAAATGTGCTTTCGTATCTGATAATGGGTTGGTGTCTTTCGCCAAAACAGCTTGTTCACTAGAGAGTTTCCTACTGGAGGAGTGCCACAGGATCACCCAATTTGGGCTTTTTGGTTTTCTCCTCAACTGTGGTGCAAAGTTGAAGGCGCTATCACTTGTGAACTGCTTGGGTATCAAGGACCTAAACCTGGGATTTCCTCCTGTATCCCCTTGCAAATATCTTCGATCACTTTCTATCCGTAGCTGCCCTGGTTTTGGTGATTCCAGCTTGGTTGCATTAGGGAAGCTTTGCCCTCAACTGCAGCATGTGGAGTTGAGTGAGCTTCATGGAATAACAGATGCTGGGTTTCTTCCACTGCTTGAGAGCTGTGAGGCTGGTTTGGTGAAGATTAATCTCAGCGGTTGTGTGAATTTGAGTGACAAAGTTGTCTGTATCATGACTGATTTGCATGGTTGGACTCTAGAAATGCTGAATCTTGATGGTTGTAAGATCAGCGATGCTAGTTTGGTTGCAATTGCAGATAACTGTCAATTGCTCAATGACCTTGATGTCTCCAAGTGTGCTATCACTGATTCTGGAATTGCGGCTCTGGCTCGTTCTAATCAGATCAATCTGCAGATCCTTTCTGTGTCTGGTTGCTCTAAGGTCTCTGACAAAAGCTTGCCTTCACTTGGAAAATTGGGTGAGACCCTCTTGGGTTTAAACCTACAGCACTGCAAGGCAATCAGCAGCAGTACAATTGACCTACTTGTAGAGCAGCTATGGAGGTGCGACATCCTTTTCTGAACTAACATATATAGCCCCCTCCACCGCTCTGCGTACTGCCGAGTATCAATTTATCAATTTATCAACAAAACAAGGTTTGATAAATCAAGAAGCCTATGAATATACCCTTTGTGAGTAGTCACAGTTTGTTTAATTTTTGGGTCCATCAGTCGTGGGTCTTATATCTTCCAGAGCAAAGTCCCATTTTACAGGGAACACGGCCATTCTGCCCCTTTTTTTTGCAGGTATCCTTTTATCGGAGACCTGTTACTAGATATTGAATATCCCGATAACGGGTGTCGGTTTCTCAATGGCCAGATTTCCATTACAACACAGTTGCTGGGTTCTGGATTTTAGTAATATAGTTTGTTCATTGTTGGTTTTAGCGAGTCTTCCTCGGTTTGAGACATCGTAGTCATGGTTGCTTTCGACAGTACAAAGGTAGGTGTCTAGCTCTAAATGGGTTTTGGCCATGGCAGCAATGTAGATAATCTGCCATGACAACTCTTGGGAGTTGTTTTTTTCTCCTCTTTCACCAAAACCCCACTTTTACTTGCTTGCTTCATTTGCTTTTGAACTGCTGTAGTCTGCAACCTCTCAAACCATGTAATGAAAAGTTGAATCCGCCGTTGGAGGTCGCCTATGTTTCTGTTTCTGTTTCCACTATGATTAATAAAAAATGACAAACTTTGATGTAGAATGATTGCTAATTTGATTTGATTCATGGAAATTGTGCGATTTGGAACTATTGGTTGAGGTGGATATGGATTGATTGTTTGTGGATCACTTGGCTGCATTCAACAAAAGAAATCTCTTTGTCAACAATCTTTCACCATCCTAATTATATAAAGCTCGACTTTGGATTCCAATGGAAGTCTTTAAATTATGCAGTCATCTAATCTCTGCAAAATAATTACAAAAAAGGCACTAATTTCATAGGATAAACAAAGCAATTTAAACAATGTAGCAATTCACAATTACTTAGAATGTTTGATCATGGATTATCTATAACACCAACAGCAAACAACTTTTAAAACTCAGCAAGCCATCCTTAAACAACACAAATTAGGCCCACCTTTGCAAGCTACATCTGAACAGAAACAACCAAAGCAGCCGAATATTGGATAAGACAAAATCATTACGTTCTCTAATGTAGGATTCTCATATAGCGCCAACTTAAAACCACTGCCATGCTTAATGCTCCACTGCAATTTGCTCTTGCTCCAAGTCCAGCTTCCCTTGCTGTCCAATCACCGGCCCTCGATCCATCTCAGGCTGACTTAGACCTGAATCATCTGTCGAAACTGCCTCCGGCTGTTGGATTGGAGATAATTCCTCATTTGTCAAATCAGATGATGTGGTGTTCTCCTCGTCTGTTTCTTTAGATGAGGCTATCTTTCCCTCGGTTGTTGCTTTTGATTTAGTCACCTTTTCAGGATAGGATGCCTCCGATTTCGATTCCTCATTCTTTGCGCTGGACAAAGTAGTCTTCTGAGAAGGCAGTTTGGGAAGTGATTTCCTCTGTGGCTTCTTTGCATGGGCAGGAGAAATCACTTTGGCAGATATCCTCTGAGATGCTTTCTCATACAGACTTAGCCGGCCTGATTGGTGACCGTTATTGCTGTTACCATCAATGTCTGAAGTAGTTGAGCTTTTTCTCCGACCAAGCTTTGGTGATTTAGCTCTTGTAGTTGGCATCTGCACCCAAGTAATAGAAAAACATTAATGTTGTAAATCGTGAGAAATTCATCATGGCCATATTGCAGATAAAGAAAGAAGAGTAATAAAAACTTTCTATGGTCACATGCATAAAGTATATAATGGAACATAAAATAATGCATTTATACACACTCAAGAAAGGAAAAAGAAAAGGAGAATACAAATAAGCATGTCATTGGGAGTTAAGATTAAAATACAAAGAAGAATCTGACTATGCAAAATTTCTATACCCGAAGGACCATCGAGCCTCCTATATATATCAGCAAGCACATACAACTAACCTTCTTTAATTCCACCTTTGGAGGTGGAGGTTCCTGATAGAAGCTTGGCATTGGAGTTGCTTTAAAGTTCAGAGTCTTCCTAAACATCTTAATCTCAGCCTCCTGAGTTTCCTGCAGAAAAGTTAGATATCATTATGATAAGAAATGATTCTGGACCATAAGCCATCATAATCACAAGATAACACCTTAGACTTGGCCTGCAAGTTGCTCTTTTCTACTTCCGTTGCATGAATTTTTTCCTCAAGTTTATTGTAGAACTGTGCAACACAATAACGAAGACTTTAAAGTTAAGAACAATTGCTGCAAGAATAGACAATGTAAAATCTCAGGAATATCATATAAAGCACCAACCTCTTTTCTTTTCTCAGCCCGTTCGCCACACTTGAAACTGAAACCATACTTTGGAAGAGTACCAATCTTATGAGCTTTATCATCAGCTACTGTGGGGCTTCAATGAAGCAATTAAGGATAAACAGAAAAACGCCAATGAAAAAAATGAAAACTTATAGACAATGTTGGAAAGAAAACTCAAACCGTGACCCATTTCAACACGAAGTACCAGACGTAATAACAAAATGTTAAAACAGACAAGGATATGATAACTCAGATTCTCCTTCAGCTTTATCTGGAGGTCCTTTCTTCAAAGGCTTTAACTTTGCTTTCTCCCTGTAATAAATGGTAGAACAGTTGTGAAAATGTTGGATAACATGTCTTTTATCATGCAGCACATAAAGTCCGATACTCCAATTCCAGGGGGAAATAAAAAGATAAAAAGTGCCAGATAGAGCTTCCCCTCTCGGTTCGCATAACCAATAAGAACGGCAGAAGGTTGCATAAAAAAAGAAAAGAAACTTAAACAAAAGTACTAGTACGTACGTATTGCCTTCAGAGAAGGCTGCATCAGGTTTTCCAAGATGCTGTTGTAAGCACACAGAGAGAGGAAAACATATAATCAGAAAGGCGGGAACAGTGATAAAAAAAAGGAAAAAAGAAATAAGTAGTGTGATCATTGTAAACCTAACCTGGGATCCATTAGCTTGTCTTTCATTCAATGATCTACTTTTTAGAGGTTGTTTCATACGTGAATTTGCAGCAACAGAACCACCATTAGGAGCTGTCAACATTGCCTTAGCAATCTTTCCATCTTTATTTTTCTTCACCAAAGCTGGAGAAACATTTTTGGGACCAGAGGGCTTCTCAGTATTGGTCTTGCCTTGAATCTTATGAGGTTTGGATTGCTTCAACTTGTCTTTGGCTTCCCCTTCCTACCAAGAAAGACAGTCATAAACATGAAATTAGTCTAATGGTAATTACTAAAAGGCTCAAACAGAATGTAAGACCTACTACCTTAGAATCCATCAATCCACTGCTTTCCACATAGTCATTCGACCATTCTTTAGCTTGCTCAGTTGTTCCATTGTCATCCATTTCATTCTGAAAACAAGTCTCGAATGTTTCATCGACAGTTCCATTCACATTATCCGAAAAGATACTGTCGTACTCATCCCCAGACACCTGAAGTTGCAGGCAAACACCATTTTCAACGGCAACCTCAAGACCATCCGCAGACAATGGATTATCCGACTCCATCACACACTGTAACAGGAACAAAACAAAGGAGCAGCGCTAGTAACAGACAAAACAAGCAGCGAAAAGGAATTAACACGTAAACACCATTTTGAAGGCCATTTTCAAGCCATTAAGATGAATAAAACTAATCAGCAAGCCTAATTACAGAAAAATTAAAAGGAACATACACTTCCAGTAATTTTAAATTCTCAGACCTAACAGCTATATTTCATACAATAAAATTTAATAATTTCCATTGGTCTAAAACTATCCACATTTATCAACTCCAAAGGATAAAATATCGAATATGAATTTGATGAAAAAAAGGAACAAGAAAAACTGAATTAGATCTCATATAAGCAAATAAAAAGCAAATTAAAATCGAATTCAAGGCATCAGGGTTCGCATTTGAAAAATAAAAGGTAAACGGAGTCGGTGAAAACCCAGAAAATGGATGCTTTAAGTAGAGTAAAGCTCCAATGTATACAGAGATCTTCAACGCCACTAAACAACTAACACATTTCGCTTCATGTTGATCTGCTCTTTGAGAAGAAAAAAAAAGGAGAGGATGAAATATTTCCCTAAGAACCAAACAAGATTTTCCTTTCAAAAAAAAGAAAAAGGTATTTTACTAATTTTCTTTCTTACCTTGTGAAGCGTGCGATATATCAATGCTCCATGGGTATGAAGCTGAGAATGAAGATTTATGATAGAATCAGTGAAAAAAATGAAAAGGATCTGAGATAAGGAAGAGAGTGAGATAAATAGTGAAAACTAGACGCTATAAGCAATTTAAAATAATAAAATAATTGGAAGTCAAATTTTTGTGTTATTTATGTATTTATTATTTTCAAAGTTTATTTTAAAATGGTAAAATCAGTCCAATAATGTGTTCATTTTTTTTAGATACCGGACATGTCCCAACATGTTTGAATCATACGACGTTTTCGATAAAATATTCGGATGACACAATGTCTTTGACAAGATTATAGTGTTAAAAGTTTTTGGACATGCATGAAATTAGAGGAAATACGTCGTATTATCCATACGTTTAACCGAAGTTATCGTATTATTCGAGTGTCTTATGATATACATCACACTATCTTAGAAAATAATTCCTCTCGCACACTATCTTATAATTTTTTTTGTCTATCTTATTTTTTTTTGTCCATCACATTATTTAACCCATTAGAGCATCCCAACCCAGTTTGCCTCATTTATAAACGTCAAGATTTGAACCTCTGACATTGATTAAGAAATTTAGTGTCTCATCTCACTAGACAAACTGGTTTTTGGTTATTGTCGAGATAAATATTAAAATTATATATGAATTTTAATTAAATATATAATATTATATAAATTTTAATATTCTATAATTAATTTTTGTATGATTCAAGCAAAGATTAAAATGTTTAAATTTAAATTTTATTTGTAGTAATATTTTTATATTTAAATTTTATTTGTAAAAATAATATTAAACATATATTGAGCTGATGAAGCTTTATTTCAACGATTAAAATATTTGAAAATGATTTAATTTCCAAAATTATAATTTCAAATTTTCATATTTCATTTATTTCTTTGATCCCGTCTCTCCACATGTATGCATGCATGTATGTATATAAGAATGAATGAAGCCTGAAGGTATATGAGAAAAGCAAGGGGGAGTCGCTGTCGAAGTGGAAACATCAAACATTAGGAGATTGGTCGTTTATATGAAAATTGGAAGGGACCCGGGAAGGGCCGTTGGGGACCATAGCATGTAATACAAGCGAGAATTATAATGCTTCACTGCCATGATTCCTTTGAGATAAGAACTGGTCGGAGTTCTCAAGTGCTTTTAGGGATGTTAATGCCCGGATTTTCCATCAATCTCCCTCTACTCAACAAATATATCTTTTTTCACCCCAAGTTGATTTGAATTTAAACCAGTATAATACGAACATAACTAAAAAATAGGGTAAAGTACAAAAATAGTCCCCAATTATAGGATATTATTTTTTTACGTATCCCGAATATTCAAAGTTATAAAATGATCCCCGACTATATATCACTGTTTTGTTGAGTCCCCCGGCTATTAAAAACTATAAAATGGTTACTTAACTATTCATATGTTTTAAACTCCTCATTTTTCGTTAAATTTTTTATAGTTATATGAGTAGGATACGATAAAATAATGTTTTAATGATATCTAATAACATCGTTATTGCTTTCAAGCACTAGCTCGACAGCATAATGTTTCAATCATTAGCTCCACGACATAAAGTAAACAGAGACGCGATCCACAAAACACAACTCAAACAATTATGAGATCAGACTTTATCATATCTGAGTGAGCATATTAACGCCAAGCTCAAACGACCTCCAATTTTGTAACAAAAAAGGACGAGTTTGAAAAATATTAATAGTTTGACGACTATTTTGTAACTTTTAATAGTCGAAAGACTCAACAAAACAACATCTTATAATCAAGAGACTATTTTGTAATTTTTAATAATCGTGACTCAACAAAACAACAACCTATAGTCGGAGGACTATTTGTGTACTTTACTCTAAAAAAATATGGAGAGTGATATTATAGTAATTCTTTTAAATATATATAAGAAAAACACACTATTATCCTATGTCAGATCGAATATTTTTCACCTTAAACTCGACTTGATCTCATATTATATAAAATATGATCCGACTCGATCCAAACTCAATTTTTTCTTAAAAAAATAACCTTATAAAATTATATCAAATTAAAACTCATTTGAATTAGAGTATCATAGGTAGATGTTTTCAACTAGAAAATCCAATAAAAGCCTTGTTGATTGAAAGAAAAGGCTGGTTAGCTAGCAGCGAACTTAGTGCAATAAGAGGCCTTTGAATCAAGTTGTCAAGTTTGGGCTGCCTAGCTAAAAGCCTAGCCTATGTTATTTGCAAGCCCAGACCCAGTTTCCAAATTAGGCACACTAATTAATATGATCGAGTTAATACTAATAATTCCTATCTATAAATGATGTGCCAAATTCGTGGTTAGATCATTAGATGTACACAAGTTTATTAATGGAATTTACGCTTAACCTAATATTCTATTAAATTCAACTGAATTTTGACGTTAATGGCCGAAAGAAGACATATTTTCTTGACATAATTATAAATACTTGCATAATAAAATAATACTATTTTAATATTTCCACCGAATTCTCACTCACTCTTAGATTCTGTCTCAAAGGGTTCAAACACACTTTCAATTCAACACTCGACGGAGGAGAGAAAAGGAAGAAAAATCATGTTGTCTCCGACCCCACTCTCTCTCTTTTGTGCTGTACTCCTTTGCTTTCCTTTAGCCGTCATTATAACGATTACTTCTCCGACAACCACCGTCCCTGGTGGTACCGGCGACGATTCTATTCCAAATTTGGTCCCCCCATCCGTATCCCATCAAAGATTCTCCTCCAAGCCACTGAATTTACCACTGCATGATGAAGATTCACTCCTCCGAGTCGCTTCTCGAGTTAACTCGAAACTCCCTCCTGGTTCGCTGAAAAAGATTGCGTTTTTATACCTTACTATGTCGCCTCTGCCTTTTGCTCCTCTGTGGGAGGTTTATTTGAACCAAACCCCCAAAAACCTCTTCAATGTTTACCTGCATGCCGACCCGAGTTACCCTTACCACCCGCCGTTCTCGGGTGTGTTCGCTCACCGAGTCATCCCTTCTAAACCCGCTCTCCGTTTCACCCCTACTCTCGCTTCCGCTGCCCGGAGGTTATTGGCTCACGCGCTGCTTCATGATCGTTCGAATTACATGTTTGTCCTCTTGTCCGCCAATTGCATACCCATTCATTCTTTTAACTTCACCTACGAAACGCTAACCCGGTCTAAGAAAAGCTTCATCGAGATTCTGAAAAACGAGGTGGGGAGTTTCGATAGGTGGGCGGCGCGTGGGCAGGACGCGATGCTGCCGGTGGTTAAGTTGGAGGATTTCAGGATAGGGTCCCAATTTTGGTCTCTGACACGTAAGCACGCGAGGCTCGTCGTTGGTGACGAGATGGTCTGGGCGAGGTTCAACCAACCGTGCGTGGTCTGGGACACGTGTTACCCGGAGGAAAACTATTTTCCCACACTCTTACACATGAGGGACCCACGTGGCGTAGTGCCAGTCACTCTGACGCACGTGGACTGGAACGGCAGCTTCGACGGTCACCCGCGGATGTACGTGGAGTCCGAGATTACGCGCCAGCTGATCTCACGGCTGAGAAACGACAAGCCTCGTTACGGGGATGATGGAACCAAGGGCTCCGATTCTCCGATCACACAAGGGCGGCATTTTCCGTTCTTGTTTGCCCGGAAGTTCTCGCCGGAGTCAGTTCTGCCATTGTTGAAAATAGCAAGCGACTTCATATTCAAGGATTAACAGATTGTTGTAAATTTCCTCTCTTTTTCCTCTTTAAAGTTTAAAACTGTTAAAGTGAAAACACAAACACCATATAAAAAGACGGGAAAGAACCCAGTGATGTTTGTTTGTGTGAAATTTCGCGCCTTTTTTGTTTTTGAGTGAACTCGGTCCGAGTGACCCGGAGTGGGAAAATGTAAACAAGAAAACACTATATCCTTCTAAAGCACCAAACAATTCAGGTTCTTCTACAACTCCAATTTTCAATGTTTCTTTTTAAGACAAAAAGTAGTTGAGATTTCATTCAACCGACAACGCAAATGCATATAAAAATCGATTTTTTAAACAAGTTTATATTTCGGATATTATGATAAAAAAAAGACAGAATGTTTGTTTATGATGTTCTTATCAATCAATGATTTTTTTTTTTAAGTTTATTATCAAAGTTACTCGCTATAAGAGTGTGTGTGTAAGCATTTTCATGTACAATATTGTCATAATTATTTTTTCTCTCAAATAATCCTCACTTATTATTTTATTTTATTGTGATTCAAATTTTTTAAAGTATATTTATAATATTTTTTTAAATATAACCGACATTATTTATCCACTATTATTTCATTAGAAGAAAGTATTTTAAATTTTATTTTTCTTGATTAAATCTAAGTGTTCAATAATCATATCGAATCAATTTCAATTCAATCTAAGTGAACTTTTAAAACAATAAAACAATTCACTCGAAAGAAGTAAAAAACAAAAATGATGGCATGAAGAAAGCGTCGTTTTTACGTAAATCAAGTAAAAATATATTTGATCCAAGTTTTAACTATTGGTACGGATTTCAGGAGCCGGGCTCAGTGAGTTGTTTTGGGGGATCCAGCATAAATCAATTTCTTTTAATCATTACCCAATTAAAATCAAAGTTACACTTTGGGCTTCCCGGTTCCAACCGGAGCCGGTTGCATGATTATTGGGCTTTCGGTTTTTTTTAATGTTCATTGCCAAAACAGATTTTTCTTAATAAACCGTGTTGGGAGTGATACCAAAATCATATTTGGGTAAAGTACACTAATGATCCCCAATTATAGGATGTTACTTTGTTAAGTCATCCGATCAATTAAAATTGCAAAATGGTCCCTTGACAGCAAGGTATTGCTTTGTTAGTCCCTCAACTATTAAAAGTTACAAAATGTTCACCTAACTATTCATATATTTTAAATTTATTTTTTCTCATTAAAATATTGACAACCGTCTGAATCATACGTTAACTTGTTGACCGGAATATGATAAAATCATATTTTAACGATGTTTATCGATACCGTCGTTGCATCATATAAATTATATATATTAATAGAATAGTAAATATTTATGATGGAATTATTTTCATTTCATTTTAGAAATATTGGAATTTACACATCAAGGAATGTGCGTTAATATCATCAGTGATGATCCTCTCGGTAACTTTCCACAGCTTTTTTATATAAATTACAGTTCAAGAAAGCTGTGGGAAATCACAAAGAGCAGCAAAGCAGTATCAGCTGCACATGCACATGCAAGCTTATTGATGGAACCATTATAGACAAGCCCGGAAAGAATGAGTGAACAGAAGGGTACAACTGCAAGTGGGAGAAAATTTATTGTGATGTGAATTGAAAACTTTGACTTTTAGTCACTTATTTTTTCTAACAAAAATATTTTTGACTTCTTATTATTTAAATTTTATTATTAATAAAAACTAATAAATGATAAATTTAGAGAGAGAAAGAGAATATATGAATGTGTGTGGAGTGATGATGTTAGGATTTCATGCTTCATCCACTAAATAAAAAAATATCCCGTAAGGTACAATGACAGCCTACTGGCTCCAGTCCAAACCCATTCCATGCCTTTCGTTGTTTGCTACTTGCTATTCTTTGTCCTTTCTGTTTACTTATATTTTATTGTTTCACTTGTTATCACCTTATTGTTGGCAAAGCCACGATTCTTTAATTAGCATAAAGCAGCATGGGAAAGAAACAGGTGTAGAAAGCGTTGGTACGTATAGTTGCATACAAAAGATGCTTTGATTTTAGGCGAGGAGGTTATGATGTGGCTCCCAAGTCCACATCAAACTTACGTCATCGGCTCACAACTTTCATGTATTTTTTCCTAATAAAATAGGACACTAAATTATTTTAAGAATATCAAATATTTGAGTTATAACAATTCAAATGGAGTAAATTGGATATTGAAAGTCGATTCCATTATAAATCTTTATAATATTTTATCTAAATTAATTAATTTTAATAAACCAGATATCAATGATTAAAAAATAACTTTAAAAGTTAAATAGTAAAAAAACAAAGCATTTAACAAAAGAATATCACTTATCAAGTTCATGATATAACTTCAAATGAAATGAAAAATTAATGAACATTAAATTCAACATTAACGTCTAAAGAAACCATTCTCTTATATATTTTAAAATATATATGAAAAATTCGTTTATACTTTAACAATTTTTTGAATATATCGTTAAAAAAATTCAGTTGACATTTCTAATATTCCCTAATTGTGAGTTCATTACTTATTAGGACTAAAATTTCCTTTTTCTATTACTAAATAGGAACTGTTGGAAAAAATCGTACACAATAACTCCTCTTATTAATAGCAATTTCTTGTTTAATGTTTTTTTAATTAAAGGAGCCTTAAGAACAGAGACGGACCCATGACAAAAATTCAGAGGTTGCAAGAGCCCCAGGGTGACACTTTTGAGGGGTGACACTTGTATTAGAGGTGATACTTATTGAGGGGTTGCTTGGGATACCCGGGGCACCATGGAGGTCCGCCCCTAGATGAGGGGTTGCCCGGGATACCCCGGGCACCATGGAGGTCCGCCCCTGCTTAAGAGATTTATTAGCAATTGCATGAAAAAAGAGTTTTCTTTGAATATATTTTAAACAGATATATTAAGGATTCTTCATAGCAGTTTCTTGTTAATGTTTTTTTTTTTTGTAAAATTTAGTTGTTTTTGTTATCTGTCTTTATCTCTAACTTAATTATATGTTTTATTTCATAATTTATTATCTTTTCCAGAGATTTGATTACTTCATATATTTATATCTTTTTAATAGTGTAGGTAATTAGAAGGTAATATACGTTGGAATTGAAAGAATGACCAAAACATAATCAACTCAACATTAACGTTAATAAAAAAGGATTACAATAGGCAGAGATAAATGTAAACTCACACGCCTTGTACAACTTCAACAAGTATCACACAATGCCAGGATCTCTGCAACGCGTGATCCTATCACAGAAAACCAAAGAAAACCCTATTCCAACTTCGAATTGTACTAATCAAAAGCAATACATTAAAAACAAAGACACATTAATACACCGTTAAAGTAGAGGCTTAGAGCAAACATAGCCAACAGGAACCGATCGTGCTTCTCATAACTCTATCAGCATTTGAAGTCCGGAGGGATTTCCTTCTGGCATGCACTAAGGAGCAGGCTAAGAGTAACAGGGATGTTGAGGTTGATCCCAAGAACATTAGCTTTGATGGCGGTGCAAAGGCAAAGGGCAGCCTCCAAATCAGCCAAGCCTTGGATCAAAGCACAGCATTTGCTCGTCGGAGGCGTTCCCACCACGATGTTCACCAGTCCAAGCAAATCAGCACAAACGCCTAGCTTCAGCGTGTCCTTGGGACAATAAGCAGGCTTTGCCGGCGGAGGGCATGCCGGAGGTGGAATGGGTTTCGGCTTTGGTGGCTTGCATGAGTTACAAGCGCTGGTGAATGACGAGTGGAAAAGAAGAGAGAAAACTATGAGGAGAGCACAGGTTTTGGTGGATGCCATCGAAGCTCGCTAAGTGACTGAAGAAATGCTCAAAAGAGATATTGGTGTATTCGGTCGAGACCCAGAAGAGGGTTTTTTAAAGCAAATTTGTGAGGTTGCTGAGCTGGGATCTGATTAAGTGGAAGAGAGGACTAGTAGCTGGAGTTTTGTAACCTTCTGGGGAGGAAACTTGTGAGTATCCTTTCTATTCATTTCTTTTTTAAGCAATATTGCCTAACTGAGTTGAAGAATGTTCACCATACATCACTTAAAATGGAAATATATGCAGTTGTATAGTTAACCATCCATGGCCCCCCCATAGGTAAAATCCTATCTCTTTCACATATATTCTATATATATCCAAAGCATCCAAGAATGATCATAAAATGTCATGAATTAAGCCAACTTGTATTGTGACTGGTGATTTATTAATGGTCATTTAAGCAAATGAGTGGTAACCAAAGGAAGCTATGCATTATATGTTTTTTTTAACCGAATGCATTGATTATAGCTTCTTGAGGGTGGTGACAATGAACATGAATGTATTTTGTCTACTTGTGCTGTTTTCTGTCCAGCATTGGTTCATAATTGTTTGCAATACTTGATATGGCAATGGGAGAGTTACTTTGCAGCTCAACCCACATGGTATCAAATCTCATTGCCGGACCAATGAGATCTGGGAATGCTGTGGTTACGATCGGCATGGATCATTCCATGCCACCATATGCATGATTAGTATTGTTCGTTAACCCCATCCGATTTAGTTAGATGAAAGATATTAGTTCCGTTAGCATAATTATCATATTGTAAACTTTTTAGACCTTATAAATTTAAACGAACCTAGACTCATAATGCTCTCCTAAAATGAGTATAATTAGTTTTTGGTTAGAGAGTTAAGGAGATTATAGTATATATTTTAGATTTTTTTAATATTCTCAATTGATAATTTATTTTTGTCTTTCCTAAAATTTTAGAAGTTCGTCCCTAATCTTTAAAATAAGATCTTACGTTCGTCCTTGCGAGTATAGAAGCCTGCTTGTGTCGATCTGAGCCAGTAATTTGAACTCAAGAAAAATTAAGCTGGAAAAAATATGAGATCAATAAAACATTATTTATAAAAATATAAAGAGGGTGATACATTTAGATATTTGAATGGAATCGTTGTTGGACTAAGGTGGTTGACACATTGTTGATATGGAAGATGGGCATTTTAATGAGAGTCTAAGCCCAAATCTTGTTGTTTTTTTTTATTGTTTTCAAGTGAATGAAAATTGAAAAGGACCATTAAATGAAAAGCCCATTAAACCACATTTTTCATTCGGCTCTCCACATTCCAATCCAAACTTTTAATAAAATAAAATTATTGAATATTTATATATTAAATTAAAGTATGGGTAAAAAACACAAGTGGTCCTCCGACTATAGATATTGCTTTATTGAGTCTTCCGACTATGAAAAATTATAAAATGATCTACCAAATATAGGGTGATGCTTTGTTGAGTCCCTTGACTATTAAAAGTTACAAAATGCTCACCCGACTATTCATATATTTCAAACTCATCATTTTTTGTTAAAAATTTGACGACCGTCTAATATGTACGTTAACTTGTTAATTGAGATATGATAAAATTATATTTTAATGATGCCTATTGGCATCACCATTGCTTGCAAGCATTATCTTGATGACATAATGTTTCAAGAACTGACTCGATAACATAATGTAAATAAAGATTCGATCCATAAAATACAATTCAAACAGTTCTATAATCAGATTTTATCATATCTTAGTAAGCAAGTTAAAGTCTGACTTAAACGATCTCTAATTTTTAACAAAAAATAACAAATTTTGAACACATAAATAGTCGAGTGACTATTTTGTAACTTTTAATAGTTGGAAGACTCAATAAAGTAGCACCTTATGATTGGAGGATTATTTTGAAACTTTTAATAGTTGATGGACTATTTGTGTATTTTATCCTTAAAGTATTTATTTTACATTACTTCCAATAATATCATATTTTAATATTTTAATTTTAAATATATATATATATATATATATATATATATATATATATTAATATTATTCATGAAATATGTAAAATAATACGATTTTACTGACATTATCATTTATTAAGTTTTAATTTTATTTTGAATTTTTTTCCTAATTTTTATGATTTAATTATTTTTTGCAACTTATTAATTTTGATATTAAACAATAATCGAAATTAGTGAAAATAAGAATGATATATTAAAAATTTAATATTTGATTGGTGCGGCATTCTAGACAATATACCGGGTGACAACGACATTAACGTTTCGAATTCACAAGATCGATACATCTTCCACGTGAAACGCACAGATGGACTCACCGTTCTTTGCATGGCGGATGAAAGTGCCGGAAGTAAACTAATTCCCTATTTCAGTTTATGTTTTTTCTTAAAAGTGAAATTATATTTGATTGGTGCGGCATTCTTATGTTTCAAGTTCAATTGCTTTGTAATGTATTTATCAGTTATTTGTTTCCAAATTAAAAGCGAAATTGTTAGAGATGGAGATAGTTGACAATCTAGAGTTTATTTAAAAGTTTAGAAGATCCGTAAGTGCTATGTTCTGTGAATTTATCGCTCTTCTTTTTTGCTTTTGATTGATTACTTCCCTTTGACTCTGTTTTGAATGATGAGTTGAAGACGGAAATTTATATGTTCTTCAGTAACATTCCAAGGATTTTTCGCGAATCAAATTTAGAGTTCATAATGGCAATTACTTTGAGTTGTGACTCTTCGTTGTTAAAAGCTCTGGTCCTGATATTTGTTATTGATAAATTGTTTAGGTCAGGGTCTATGTGCTTATCATTTTTTTAGGGCGAATTCCCTTTGCATTTCTTGAAGACATTCATCAGAGATTTGTTAAAACTTACAGCCGAGCGGTATTTTCGGCGCGGCCTTATGGCGTGAATGATGAATTTTCGAGGGTTTTGAGCCAGCAACTGGAATATTACTCCAGTAATCATAATGCTGATAGGTTAAATCGATTAAAAGGTGAAATGAGTCGGGTATGTTTTGAATGCTTGGAAATTGGAATCTGGTTATATGAGTTGTAGTATTCTATTTCTTCTAGGTTCCCATTGGCCGGTCCCTTTCCTATTCAACCTTCTAATCATATTTTATTAGGGTTTGAATGCATAAGCACGATCTTCTACCTTCTCTAAAGATGAACTAATTTGCTCTTCAGATCACATAGAAATCTATTTTTCAACCATTTAGCCATTTGTATCCAAGGGGAACCCTTCATGTAATTGTACCTGGATGGCTAGGTTATGGCCTTTTTGTTAGAAGTTCGAACACTGGCCTAATGTGCTAATTGTATTCTAACAGCTGCGAAATGTTATGATAGAGAATATCGACAAAGTCTTAGAGCGAGGTGATCGCTTAGAATTGCTGGTTGACAAAACTGCTAATATGCAAGGGCATACCTTTCGCTTCCGAAAGCAAACTCGTCGTTTTAGAAACACAGTATGGTGGAGAAATGTCAAGCTTACGCACGCTTTCTGAACTTCAACCCCCTTTTTTTGTACATTTACATGCACTGCATTAAGTTTAGAAGCGAAATTTTACTACAATGTGAGCATAATTTTGAACAAAATAGTTAGCTTTATGTGTGTATTTGCTCCTAAGAATAAAAGATATACTAGGATGGAGGAATTTATCACTCGCTCGCCTTGGACATTGCAGGGTTGCTCTGATAATCCTCCTAATTATTGTTTACGTTGTGCTGACTTTCGTTTGCGATGGTATCGCGCTACCTTCCTGCCTAAAATGATGTCAAGAGGTCTTAGATCTGAAATACTTACACAGTCCCAGGCACCCTTTCCTTATGCTTCTTGTAGACACCCGTTTTTGTCCGGGTCTTTATTATTTATTATTATTATTATTATTATTTATTATTATTATTTTTATATTTATATTATTATTTTATTAATATTATATTTTTACATATTTTGGCAGGCCAAAGCCTATTACAACCGGCCCAAACAATTGACCCAACAGCTAGGGTTTCATCTCAATGTTCCAGCCGCCTCATTTCTGGCCATTGGATCTGGACACATCCAACGGTCCAGATCACGCAGTAATTAGGGTTTTAAACCCTAAACCTATCATCATCCAGCCGCCGCCGCCAGCAGCAAAGGAACAGCCGCGCCGCCGTCACTGTTCCGGCCCATCTCGCTCCACTCCGACTGCTCCCACCTGCACCAACAGTAACCCCATCAGTTCCAAATCAAACCAATCAAAGGAAATAGTAAACAAATCAAAACCCTAAAATTAAAAATACCTAAATCCCAATAAATCGGGAAATTGGTCCCTACCAAGATCAGAGACCCTTACCCCTACGCTAGCATCATCATCATCATCTCACCAAACGAAGCAAAATCAACCATAAATCAAGCAAAGATATCAGATGACAGGGGAGGAGATAGGGAAGAAAAAAAACGATATTCGAAAAAAGAAAATAACATAGAGAGAAAGAAAAGGGGAAGTCTTACCCTTGTAGATCTATCCCTTATCAACCTCATCAGAGCTTGAAAAACCCTGAATCGAAGGTAAAACATTCTTTTTTCTTGAATCTAGGTTTGGATTAAAAGGGGTTCTCGGTTTTTTTGGTGGGGTGAAGGGTTGGGTTTTCAAAGGAAATGAGGAAGAAAGAGGATTGAGGGTCTTTAGGGGTCGGTTTGCTCCCCATGGCCACCGATACGGTGGCCGGGGAGCCTTTGTTTTGTTGTTGCGGCGAGGGAGAAGGGAGAGTAGAGAAAGGGAAAGGCAAAAGGAGGCTGAGAGAGAGGGGTTTGAAAATGATTTAGGGTTCGGTTGGTAACCCTTAAATTGGGATTATATCCCAGCTTCAATACGGCGTCGTTTTAGGCCTAGGGAGGGAGACCAAGGTTTGGGTTTAAGGGTTAATGTCAACTTTGGTCCTCGTTATTTTGTAATCTCATATGCGTTTTTTCCATTTTTGGGGTAAATTACAGTTTAAGTACCTTGAGCTTTGTAATGCTTGTAATATGATCCTTAATGAAATTTCATCTTTCTAGTTTGGTCTCTTTATTTATTCGTGTTTCGTTTTAATCCTATATGATTAGTATTACATTTTCTAAGTGTTTAGATTTTTGGTTGCTTATTTTGTATAGTGTTCGTTTTAGTCATCATTTACATGTTTTATGTAATTATTTGACTTTGAGCCTTTATCTTTACACTA